AAAACATAAAATATTGGTAAAAACATAAAATATTGGTAAAAACATAAAATATTGGTAAAAACATAAAATATTGGTAAAAACATAAAATATTGGTAAAAACATGGAATATCAGGATCTGGCACCGCATTGACCCAGATCAACTATCGGCACAAATTTTGTCGCAATTGAGAGAATCACGATGAATTTTTCGAGCAAGTGAAATTGCTGAAAGAATCAATGTTTCATCTATGACATTCGATCATTCTAAATGATATGTACTCGCCTAGCTTTTGCGATCGCGAATTCTTTTATCGTTTCTTTTATATCGATGGCTTCCATTATATCACTTTCAATAGACATAATGGCTAAACCTGATAATCGATCGGCGGACATTGATGATCTTAAATAATTTTTTATCAATTTCAATTTTGAAAATGTCCGCTCCCCGGAAGCGACGGATGCCGGCATTGTCAGAAAAATTCTCAATGCGACGGCGGTGTTTGGAAATGTATCGATGAGATTATTTTCATAAAGAAAATTCAATACATCCAAAGGAGTGTATTCTTTCTCCAAAAATGTTTTAAGACTACATAACTCTTCGAAAAGAATTTTTCCATCAATATCACGTTTATTGTTGTCATTAATATCTGTCAATTTCTTTTCAAGATTCAAGCAACGATTTTTTAAATCATCAAATTTTTCCAAATCATTACAATTTTTAATCAAGTCAAATACCATCATATGTTGATTAAGAAGAGTGAAACGCTCTTCTACCGAGGTTATTGCGATGTCAAGAATTGCGAAAAAAAAATCGACTTTAAAATGCGATTTTGGGTCATTCAGAGGAGAATCCGAAGATTCATAATCAAATGACTTTGTTTTTTTTCTTCTACGCGATTCTTCAAAGACCGCTTCTACATTGATACTTTCAGCCGCCTTGCTAGCTTCTTTAATGATATTGTTTTCAAAAAATTCATCCGAACGGAATTCTCTCAATCGCGACAAAACTTTTTGTAAACTATCGGAAATTGTGCCGATAGTTGATCTGGGGCTCTGCATCAATTTGCTTGATACATTTATCAAGTCCAAAATAAGGTGCCAGACCTGAATCCCGCAGATAAATTTAAATGATGCAACTCGATCATTTAAATTTGATGCTTTCGTTCGACTTTCTAAGTCGAACGAATCATCGTCCGAAAGCTCTTCTAGAGCATTGGAAATTTTATTCAAATAAATTTTGAATGGCCGGATTGATTCAATCCGGCTCTCCCACCTTGTAGCCGACAATGGCTTCAAGGAAAGGTGGGGCATATGTTTTTTCAATATGCCCCACCTTCTGGGAGAAGCGGAAAAAAAATTGTAGAATTCTTGAATTAAATCAAAAAAATTGACAGTTTCAAAAGACATTTTGGCAGCGTCGTTGACCACCAGATTGAGTGAATGTGCCGAGCACGGCACAAAGAACGCTCTTGAATTTAATTCAAGAATTTTTTTTTGAAGACCATTTTTTTTGCCTTTCATGTTGGCGGCATTGTCATAAGATTGAGCTCTCAAATTCTCAATTTTTAGGTTGAGGCTTTGGAAGCAACTAGTGATTGCATTGAACAAACCAGTTCCGGTTGTTTCATCCAAAGCTATAAAACCGAGAAATCTTTCTTGAATACTAGCCGCATTCGTATCATCATCATGATGAACGAATCGAATTATGATCGACAATTGTTCTTTGTGCGAACAATCTGGTGTTGTGTCAAGAACAACAGCAAAATATTTCGATTTTTCAACCATTTCAAGAATTCTATTTTTGACCGCATTCGAAACTAAATGAATGATTTCATTTTGTATCTTGTCGCCAAGATAACTAGGAAATGACTTACCCGAAAATTGGATTCGCCGAAGATGTTCGTTCATGACATTGTCAAACTTGGCCACTGTTTCGACAAGTTTTAGAAAATTTCCATTTTCCTCACTATAAATGGCTTGTGTGGAACCACGAATAGCCAAGCATTGTCGGCCTAGAAATTGAATCAAAAGAATGATTCTTTCCAATACGGATAGCCAATAATTTTTTTCATTTTCTATTATTTGCTGATTTGTTCCATCGATTGTCGTTTTGTTTTTCAGTGCATTTTTTAATTTTAAAAACTTGCTACTGTTGCTCAAATGATTTGAAGAGGATTCATGTGTCTTCAATATAGTAGCTAAATGGCGCCAATCATTGACACCGCTATCATTTGATAGCCTGGAATTTGGACCGCCAAATAGCTTACAGTGACTACAAAACACAGAATTCAACGATTTTGAATAGACGAGATATTGTCTTTTTACCTTCTCTCCATTTGGTAAAATTCTAAAAAAATAGTTTTCACTGAAACTTCGACCGTTTTTGTCTTTTGGATAAGAATGTTTTATATGTTTGGGCAGGTTTTCCACCAAAAAATCCCGAATTTTTAAAGATATATTTTCTGGCCAAGTCGCAGGGTCTTCGAGAATGAATGTTGAAGAACAATCCAAAGATTCGATTACGGGCTGATTTGTCGATGGATAGGGTATTGCCGTTTCGATAATTGGTTCGCTGATATCAGAACACGAAGCACCTTCATCTGTAGGATCATCGAAAAAAGTTTGACCATTAGTATCTGTTGAATCGATTTGGGATTGATAAATAACTGGTTCGCTGATATCAGAACACGAAGCACCTTCATCTGTAGGATCATCGAAAAAAGTTTGACCATTAGTATCTGTTGAATCGATTTGGGATTGATCAATAACTGGTTCGCTGATATCAGAAGCATCTTCCGATGTAATAGTATTTGTTGCCAATGATACTGATAATTTTTCAACAGTTTTTTCGTTTTCTAGTAAAAATAATGAGATCAAGCTGAAAAGATGGGTTGATTGTAAATGTACTCACTATTATTTTGGTTTTCATCTTCAGTATTTGTCGTTTTAAGAAACTTGGCGAGCGATCCTGATAATTTTTTAGCAGTTTTTTCTTTTTCCATTTTTCGTTTCCGATTTTGAGCACCGGATAACTTCTTTTTGTTAAACATCTAAGTAAAAATAATGAGATCAAACTAAAAAGATGCGTTGATTGTAAATGTACTCACGATTTTGGTGTGAATATGTAATTGATTGATAACGATGATGGTGAAAAAAATATCCGTGAAAACGGTATGANTATGATCAATAATGTATTGTTTTTAAAAAAACAAATGGATTAGATGATAATGATGGTGAAAAAAATATCCGTGAAAACGGTATGAATATGATCAATAATGTATTGTTTTTAAAAAAACAAATGGATTAGATGATAATGATGGTGAAAAAAATATCCGTGAAAACGG